CCTGTCACCGAAATAATAGGTGCAAAACAATGACCGTTAATTAATAAGCATGAGTTTTACTCATGTAATAAATGGTGATGAAGGTTCGTAGGTTTTACAATTACAATGTAGGAGTAGGATATAAAGTTTCACACCTGTGGGTCAATTCAAGAGGGTTAACCAAAGTTGTCCTCATGCTTATTACAGCTTATTTTGAAAGGGATCATGAGTTAATCACAAGACTAAGATGAAGAAATAAGGAAAAAAGTAGTCAAAAGTGGTGAGAAGTCTTCATAGAAAAGCAAGGAGGAATGGGAGAATGCTGCATTCACTATGGCGAGTAAGATCAACATAGTGTGCGGATATATCTTGGCCAGTGACATCCATTCTGAGCCATGTTACCTAGAGTCTTCAACCACAGGTTTCTGTTGTTAAGCGCGCCCAAACCAGGTAGTCCACATTTCTTTACAAGGTTCGGACTAACAGTCAAAGATTCCATGTACTGATGTCATGTTTTAGCCTGTTCATCCTTTATCAAACTACGGCCTAAACATTCTTCAGCTAACATTGTGAGACTAGGCAGGCGGCGACCAGACATGCATAACATATATCCCAGCCACTTTAGTCGATGAAGGTTCATGACCTTATCAACTGACTTTCCCCTTCTGCCTAAAAGTGTACACCTGACTTCAGCATTACTGACTCGGTGACACCGTGACACATGGCCTATTGCTATGAAGGTAACGGTGATCAAGACCGGAAGCATTGTCATGTCCTCTACTTTTAATGACCATATTTCACAGCCAGACTGTAAAACACAGTAAACTGCAGCTCAGTATACTCGATATTCGATAAACAATCAGATATCACAGCGCAGCACAAAATGGTGTAATTTGGCAAAAGCCAAAAGCGCCTTTCTTACCTGCGCACAGACTTCGTCGGGTACTGAACGACCAGGACTGATGTGGCTTTCCAGGTACTTGAAGTAAGTGGTCAACGTGTTCAAAAGTTTCACTCTCTATTGTTAGACAGTGTACTACTGAAGACCAGTTGAGGAGCAACAATTTGCATTTTAGTAGTGAAAAACGCATCTCAAGCATTCTCAGACTGCCACCCTAGATGTTCAGAAGACTCTGAAACTTGTCAGGAACTTTCTGATCTGCGTACTCTATGTCTACCAATGATTCTCCTGTGACAAGATCAATCTCTATGAAGTCAGACTGTGAGAGGGAAACCTCCATAAGTACATATACGATAAAGTTGAATAAGGATGGAGAGGACAGAGTGCACATCTTTGTTGGACACCACTTGACGTACACAAATCACCTGAAAACTCACCATAGGCTGTAACACGTCTACATGTGTTTGAGTAGAAAGCCTACAACAGAGTGATGTACTCGTACCCGTTTCCATAAAAGACACTGCCATACGACCCCTCGATTTATGGAGTGGAGTGGCGACTACAGACGAAGTGTCGGTAAATGTGCTTGTGTTCCAGAACCCGGTGAAGGGTGAATATCTGGTAGATATACCTATGATCAGCTCTGAAGCTTGCCTGATTTTCTTAGGTTTGCTGCTCATGAGCTCCACTTCGATGTTTAGTGACTGTGGAACCTAGAATCTTAGACGCCGAGTTCGTGAGACTGGTTGTCGTATGATTATCATAGGAGGATTTTTCTCCTTCCCTGAAGAGTGGCACGATGGGTGATTGAGAGCAGTTAAAGGAGATCATATTTGATACTCATTCACTAGGCAATAAACCAGTTATCCTGATCAATAATCTCCGACCACCATAATTCAGTATCTCCGGTGCTAGCCGATCTAGTATTGTTCCCCTTGTGAGCTTCAGGTTACCCTTGAACTTCTCTACCTCAGTGTCTCATTTCAGTGTCTAACTGGATTAAGAGTAAGAGAAATGCAACCGGGGCCAGCTGAATGGTTCCTCAAATTTGTATGTCAAATTAAATAATGATCATAAATAAATGCAGTCTAAGTATCTTGTGTTTTGAAAGTCTTAAGTTATTTAATTAACTAACCCGTAAACAGATCAACGCACTTTGATTAATAGTGACATTACCATTGACATTTTTGCATTGATTAACACTATTTTGCGAATGCTTGTACAGTTTTCATCGATATTTTCGGAGGCTTACCTAAAAGGTATTATAAAACTATTTAGAATTCACTCTAAACTAATCCTGTACTATCTTTTATTCTTGTTCATTTAGTAGACGCTGAGAACTAAGTATGCCATTCAGTTACAGATCGCACAAGTATCAAACTCAGTTCTAATCATTTTTCTGAGAACATAATACTATTGAGTATTTTATGTTCGTAGATGCTTCAATGCATGTGTGCTTAAGGTATGCAAATCTATGGCAGTTCTTTCTTTTACAACATTCGCATCATGAAGGAATCGGCCTTATATGCTTATTTTGTAGAATGAAAACTCAACAAAGGTGTTTTAAGTTTACGATAGTTAACAGAAATCACTCTTTTGAAGTTTTGTGCCTGTTAGTCGTAGTTTGTGGTGTATTTTGAATACCAATGAAATCTAAAGTTCTGGTTAAGTTTAAGTCTAGTAGTTCAGCATAGGCACCAACTTTGTTGCAGCTAGGTTGTTTTAACTTTCATTGGCTTCAGTTTGGATTGAATCAAGTACACAATTAGAGAATCCAGAGTCATGGACTTGAGACCAAAGCCGTTTGAAACTACTGAAACTCTCTTATCTCTCAAAAGAATAGTGGAAGGATCTAATTTGAATAAAAGTAAAAGAAAACACTAGCCTAGGATTTTCTGTTCCCAGAGTTACAGAAATGTATAAAACTGAATCAGTTTTACTCTCAGGATGCCTGGTTTGAAATGTTCTGCGCAAATACACTATACATTCATTTTCTACTAGATCAGGACAAAACTCTTAGAATGAAGATACTGCTCCGCCCATGAGGGTTTTCTTTGAACGGACCATTAGATAGATCCATCTATTCTTTTCACTAACAATACGTCTAAGAAACTGATCATATTATTTTTCCGGTGCTCAATCGTGAAGGTCACCTTTGCATGACATGAATCGAAGCCCTTTGGCAGTCCTTCTGTCTCCATTTTGTTCTACATATTGAATATATATCATCCATGTAACACTGCTACAGCTCTGTCTCACTTACGAAGCACGTCAAGCTACTAGTTTCCAGAATTGATCTAGATAAATCAGCAGAAAGCGGACCCAGAGGGCTTCCCACTGCGACTTCATCAGTTCGGCAGAATAACTGTCCGTTGAACCGAAACTGGATGTTTTTGGTGCATAGATCTAGAAGTTTCCTCAACTTGTTTGTTGAGATTGGGTTTTTATTGGTTTCTTGATAAATAAATCCTATGGTTTCATCAACTGGTATATTTGTGAACAGAGACGCCTTATTAAGTGAAACAAGGTGCTTATCAGTACCACTGAAATCGGAGGCATTTCAAAAAATCGGAGGGTGCCAGAAACAGTGTGTTTCTTAAATCTTTGCACAACGCGTCAAGAATTTCACATGACCATCTAGGTACTTTGTAACAGAGTGAATTTATCGTCGATAATATAAGCCTTTAAAGGCACCCCTGGCTTATATGTTTTAGCACGTCCATATAATTTGGGGATCTGTGATCCGATTAGCTTTATGTTTTTAAATGTAGTTTTATCAGTGTATATGGTTTTGCAAAGCTGTTTTAGTTGTTGTACCATCTGTGTTTCAGTGCATGATGTTTGGTCTTCGGCATTACTATCCAATTTAATTTTCCAGTTGTCAGACAGTAGTTCATGGATTTTTGTAATATAATCTGTTATTGCCCATCATTACTATACATAATCTGTTTTGTTTGTAAGGGTTACACCCTTCTTATCAGAGTTCAGAATAAAGATGCCTTTGTTCTCCTAAAGTTCAGGTAAGGATTTCCAGTGTTCTTTAGAAATAGTTCTTTTTGGCTAGAATACGTTTTTCGAAATTCGTATGCAGTATTTAACGTAATTTTGAAGTTAAGAGTTATGAATCATCAACTTTTAAAATTAATTCACTGATTTGTGGTCGTTGCTTTCTTGTAGTCTATGTGCAGTGGAAGAACTTTACCGTTTACAGCTCGTAGTCATGATACCACACTCTCCCTTGATTCAGTACTTATCCATATGGAAGATCATAAATTGTTAAAGCAGTATTTATGTGGTGTCACATACATTTTGGTGTCAACCGGTTACCATTGAGAATTTTTTTAATTCTTCATCCAAGAAGATTTTTAGGCAAGCTATGTCTTAAAAGAACAATATGTATATGCACGGTGACTGCCCACCGCTTAGTGTTCAGAATAATATTTCTTGGTGTTACATGTTGTGTACTCTAGAAGAGGTAATTCTTTGTTCACTAGACTCTAAGAATTACTGTATTAACTGGGACTGAACAGTTTACTCCGTTTGTTCAGTCACAACTGGAATATATATATATATATATATATATATATATATATATATATATATATATATATATATACATGAGGTATACAATCTTGCTTCCAAAGGATGACCAAATACACTCATTTTAAAAGCCACTGAGCACCTATTACTCGAATACAATTCTAGATATTACCATACTTGTTTCACATTTAACTTATATCAGTCTCACATCGTATACTTTAGTATATAAAAGGAACTCACCCCTAAAAGTTGACGGAGGTCTGCTTCACGAAATCTGAACGGGATATTGGATACATGCAAACGCTTTGGCCCAACATTGACTAAACTGACCGTAGAGCAGCTGTTGTTACTGAATTCGTACAAGAGCTAATTACTGTGGAAGATTGAATGGATGTCATCATGTCGGAAGTAACAAATGGTGTGCTCAACTCTGTATTCAAGGGAAATAATGGAACATTCTGGCTTTGAGTTATCGAAGCGTTCAATGAAGTAAGGGAATAGTCTGTTTCTATTTTCTCCGGCATATTCATATTTGAGTTTGTTTCACTCACATTTATTTCCGATAAGCGGTTTGAATGGCTTAAAGGGTTTGAATAAGTGAACTCGATGGCACTACTGTGGAATTCTTAGATGATATAGCTAAAACAGCTGCGGCCGCTGCAACAGCTGCTTCCAACGAAATAACCTGTGTGACAAAGGAAAGCGATTAGTTTTTGTATTCAAAAAGGGAATCTGTCATTAATGAAGTAATTCTAAATACTCTTCAACTACTGAAACAATCCCATCTGACCATAGAAAACAAAGGAGATGATTACGTCATAAAGGAAAGTTACCTAGTGGAGGAATAGGCAAAGTGATTACAAAATAAAAATGGTCACGTCATATATGAGTTATCTGGAGTGATCGGTGCTCCAGATAACTCACATTTGAAGTAACTCTTTTTATAAATATAACTATAAAACTTGAACACTAGGGTAGGATGTAGTTCCATTTTAGTTGATTTATTAGATGTATCACAAAAATATAATGAAATAACACAGTACTGTTTCACTGCGGTATATATCTAATAAATCAACTAAAATGGAGTGACTATTTTTATTTTACAATCATTTTATTTATTTCCCTATTACATAACTGTCAACTGTGACGCAATCTCTACTGATCTTTCACCATAATTTACTCTAGAATGTTCTGTTCACGAATGTACAACTAAGAGGATGATTTCATCAAGAAGAAAATTTTTCTTCGCTGCAATAACCTTCGTGTTTTCCTATAACTCTAGTTAATAAAAAAGCTGTCTATAATGTGAGAAATAACTGATCATTTGGTCAGAAAAATTACTTTAGTCACTATTTTGGGTGATTTCAAATGATTAGGCAAAGTATCTCAAAAGAGAATGGAGTGTATCTGTTGCGAAATTGAGGAAAGTGTGCTTTATACTATTATTATTATTATTAGTCCCTTGGGTTCCTAGTGGATCATAGGGCTTCAGTAGCACGTCTCCAGTGACCTCTGTTCTCTGAGATCTTTTGAACCTGGTCCCACGACAGCCCAGAAGCTCTCATTTCCTCCTCGCACGACCTCCTCAATGTCACCCTTGGACGTCCAACTCGTCGCTTCCCATGGGGATTCCACTCGAGGGCCTGGCGCGTGATGTCCTCAGTCGGCCTTCTCAGTGCATGGCCAATCCATCTCCACTTCTTCCTGCATATTTGTTGCGTGATAGGTTCTTGGTTGGTTCCTTGCCAGCCAGAGGCCAGAGGTCCTTGTTGCTTATTCTTTCTGGCAGTCCATCTGATCTTCAGTAGCGAGCGTAAGCAGTTGTTGATGACTATCTGTAGTTTATTGGAAATCCCTTTCGTGACGCGCCAAGTCTCTGAACCATACAGGAGCACTGATTTGACGTTGGTGTTGGAAATCCGTATCTTGTTCCGCATGCTGAGTGCAGAAGATCTCCAAACTGGTTTCAGGCTAATGAACACCTGTCTTGCTTTTCCGATTCTGACTTTGACGTCCTCGTCCGTCCCGCCTGTGCTTTATACTGATATGTCATTTTTTAAGCCGAGGTATTTATCAGGGTATTGTACTTACCTTAAGTAAATACGATCAAAATGATATAACCACCAGCCATCTCTCATGAAAAACATATACTCGCTTAACACTGCATCCTAGTCAATATTATATTGGGTCATAGATTGCTATGGTATAAGATAAATCATTTTCTTGTGGAATATTTATGGTTAACTAAATGGATATCTGTTGCTGGTATATGCTTGACAGATAGCGAAGATAAGAAATCAAAGAAATATTTATTTGTCCGCCAGAGATGTTTTCAAGCGTAGGATGCCCATTCACAACCAGAAAGAGAACTGAAGCTCATTACTGCAGATTTTGTTTGATATTGTGTAGAATCGATCACAATGGTGCCAATACATCTACGCTTTATCTTCATTGAAATCATAAAAGTTTTATTATAAAAGATACCCCTTCCCTTACTCTCTGCCTTTTAGCTCTTCATATCCTTATTCCAGTATATTCATCTTTTCTTGACTCTTCGTAGTGCAGTGCACCATGTTGATCAAATATCTAATTATTACAGGTCCTTCTTCAGTGTCTACCTGTATAACTAATTCACTTAAAAACAATCGGAAAGTGTAAGAAAACTACCAAAAACTGTCTAATTACTACTGTTGTTACCATAGTTGTCACATCAAACAAAGTTTCCAGATATTGTCAAATTAGCAGATGATGCTCTTATTACGAGGCCGAGTGAATCGCAAAGGCATCATCCATTATCTATGCTGCCTTACACTGATAAACCGGAAACGGTCATCATCTAAAAATTATTCGTGGCAGTCACTTATTTCTGTCCTGCAATTAGTTTAAAAATGAAGAGATACACTGTCTTACTTGGCGTCCAAAGGCATCAAACCAACAGCAGACACAAAAAGATCATATTGCTATCAGCCATCTCTGAACTCCGATAATTCATTAGTAGGGATACATGCAAGTGTTAGTCTTACTGGTTGCAAGAAGTGGGCAGCAATAAAGCCTTTGTGTGCTTGGATGGAGGCTGGGAACGTTAGGTATGTCAGCGTTTGTCCGAACATCACTGCAATTTTGTTCCTGGGGAAGCTTGTGCAATATTCAGTCTGGTGTTGAAACACCGGTAATAATAACTAGCTAACTACATTTAAAGTCAGCAGAATATATCAGAATTGATTGGTAAGAGAAAACTAGTTTAATCTAACCCTGATCACGATGAAAACGAAAGCAGCTTATAAGTAAATTAACTAAGAGCGTTTGTAGAAGCCAAAGAGATAGAGGAGTCATCAGCATTCAGTATTAATTGATAGTTATCTCAGCTTATCAAGAAACTGGTAATAAGAAGATAATTAGTGTGATCGTCACCGAAAAAGATGGGTAAGTGATAAATTATCATGACACAGGGCTGATATGTTGAGCGTAACACTTTGAAGATGAGTTCAACTGACCCACAACCACACTTTGATTGCCCAAAATCCATAGTGAAACTGAATAGGACGTTAATGTTGGTCCTCATACTCTTCTCAAAGTTGAGAAAGCTTTTCAAACTCGAACTCATGCAAAGCAGCAGAACCTGGTCTTTTGCCACCAAAGGCTTCTAAGGAAGGATGCAAGAATTACTGACTTGAGTAAGAGGTGTACTAGGTGGTGTATGATAATCATAGGTAGTCCTTTCAAGCTGGTCTAAATCGCTTGTCATCCCAGTTTATGAGAAAGGAGGAGTATCTTCTCATGGGAGCCCATGGGAGAACCAGTCTGAAAAACGTGATATCTAATGCCTTTTAGTCCTTAGATATTTGACACCTAACTGTAGTTCCAGAGCGAAAACTCGAGAAGACCAAGAAAGTTTCAACCCTGGAAAGAATGAATTTGTCAAATCTCCACTTCTGGAAAAATTTTGTAACACAGGTATATCTACTGGTGCCCACCGCTTGCCACGTTTTCTTAATCTGAAAGGGAAATTTGACTGTGTCGGCTGATTGGTCCTGTAGTAGTGTCTGAATCTGACAGAACTACTGAGCAGTTTAATAACTCTAAAGTGTGATCTCACCCAGCTATCCGTGGGCTTATGGAGAACTGTAGCCTAAGATAACAATAATCAGTGATGTCTGACAAGGATGCCTACTGTGACTTGCTAATGTACACCAGATTAGGTTACTGCAACATTCCAGAGAACGACTTACTCTCATGAGGGTACCCGGTTAACTTAGAGTTACTAGATGACATCATAATGTTAATCGAAGGTGGTGACTGTGAGTCTTGTGAATCTCCTGAGCAGAAATCTGAATATTTTTAGTATACATGTCGCTTGTGCTTTAGAACCGGTCTGCACTAATTCCTAGTTTCAGGATAGAGTGTGGAGTGGCAGAATGAGTTGGCCATTTTACTTAATTGGAGATTTGCTTCATCTCGAATTTATGGGTTGTTGACGGGATCTCAGCTAATGTACAAAAGACCCTCTCATTGTAACAATTATAAACTGGAAAAATATAGATCCCTACATAAACAAACAGATTATACTTTTAGCATTTCCAGTTTTATGGTCACAGTGATGTCTAGAATAACAATGAAAGGTTTCAGATCAAAATACTGAATTTCAAAATGTAAACGCTCTAAAAAAGACTACAGTTATGTCCTGAAAGCCATCTCCAGACTTCTAATATGGTGTTTGCTGTTTATATAAACGAATGAAATGAGTATATGGTATTGCCAACCTCGATATACGAATGTGCCGAAGTAATATCGAGTTGGAACGGGGATAGGAGTGGTCCAAACTAAGACAGAACGTCATTTTATGAACTCTTTGACTATTGGTATGAGCCATGTTGGTAGGTGTAAGCGTGTTGGGTGATGATAATCACTGGTTGGGAACTCCAGGTGATGTGATTAGAATACGTCACAATGACACAAACTTCATCGAAGTCGTAAATATCTTTCACAATCTTTGAATATTTGCTCTCACAGTAATGAACCCTTTTGTCCAATTGTTGTAACGTTTTCCACCCATTTCTTCTTTAGTGAACGTAAAATCCCCGTATTACGTCATGGAACGAAGAAGTGACAGTAAGCAAAATATTTTTTAAATGGTCTCACTTCGTAAAGCTGTCCAATCTTATTTTTAAGGATTGGAAGCCAATAGCAATCTGTTGTTAATCGTTAGGGTCATGTGATTACTGGAAAATTTTTTTTAAAGACAGAAATGTATCACTGCTGTGAACATTGTAAGGCAGGTGACTGCATATGGAGTTTTGAACACAAACATCATGTTTACAGTAGTGAACTGCAAATTATTCGGTTATGTATTTATTATTGGCGGAACCTGTCTTCTGGAACTCAAGGGAGGCTCTCTGAAAATTACTTTGAAGGAGCAAGTAGCAGCGAGAGTATGTCCGGTGATGAAGAGTTGTTTAAAAATAAAACTGCTGATACTCCGTCTGTCTCCTGTTAATGACCATATTGAACAGTGTCTTAAAATGAATTTACCAAGTTGTACGGCCAATGGAAGTCGCTGTGCAGCAGGAGTTAGAGTGGCTAGAAGCAGTGTTCTGTAATCAACGGATTGATGGACCAATTTTTACAGAATGTGGTCTTCAGGCAAGCTAAGAGAAGTTTTTTCTTCAAAAGTCTTAAAAATGCACTTCCAGGGATTTCAGCTGGGCTGATCCTTTTGAATTTTAGGTGCATATGCATGATTTTCTTTGAATGGTCGACAACATTTGTATTTTTGACTTTTCTCTTATATCTGAGTCAGTGAAACTTGATGGCTATTCTTTTTCTTGCATGATGTTCTGAAGAAATTTTGACTGACTGCCCATTGTATTTTGACAACAGATATTTAGAATCCTTGAAAAGAACCAACGTAAAAGCTTCTGTTTGCTGACGAGTTTGACATAGCTTTTGAGGCCGATCAATTATTATTTCATTTTAGTTTTCTGAATATTTGTCTGGTGATAGAATTATCCAATCTTCTTGTTAGTAGTATCTCAAAGAATGAGAAAAGCGGATTTTCTTTAGACTAGAGTGAATCTGCTGCAGAAATGAGCAATATTTGAAAGTGCTGATGGTGTTCTTTAGGTCCAGTTCTTCACTACATAAAAAATGTCAGCGACGTGACTTTTATCAAAGTCCACTTGACTGACTAATACATTTGAGGTACCATTCCTTAGAGAAGCCATGAAGAAGTAATTAAGAGATGGAACAAAAGGCGACTATATTGCCATCCCATCCCTTTGTACTTAAAATTTTTTGCTGACTTCAAACTGAATGTTGAAGGTGCATAGACAGATAATTCTTTCAAATATGTATGCTAGTCGTTGGAATTAATTTAGTGGTATATGAAACGAATATTCTCAATTAGGGACATGTTTGTCAAGGTATAAGTAATATCCATGGAATTTATTTGTTTCATGAACACACTGAACACATCACGTAATCGGCGAAATCAGTGAAATCCTGGACGCTGCATTCTGTCATATACCTCTATCGATTCGAGAATATTTAGCAGCCTTACAGCAAATGGGTGATATGAAGAATCGGTAATATCTAACAGTGATCGGAGAGAAATATCTGTTTTGTTCACTGTAAGAAATCTGTAAATCTTGAGGATGACTGACTTACATGCTCCACTCTATATCCAACTGTTGAATATTGTAGTAGTCACATGACCCTACTGAATATTATAAGACTATTATTTGTTTCAAATACTTACAAACAGGCCTGTATAGCGTTAGTAAATGAAATCATTAAAAAGAATATTTTCTTTGTTGTTACATTTTTGCTCCATGAGTCAATTCTTCTATAAATACTGAGATGAAGTTTCGTAACTTTGATCGATGCACTTCTGTACCAGGTTGATCTGGCTGTCGGTCCATTTATTTGTGTCAGACTGCCTACAGAACTAGGCCTTGTAGTATTCTTAATTTCCTGTCTGGTGGTAGTCGGTTAATAGAGTAGACATTCTTGTCTATGAATTATGGCCAGATATAGGCTAAGGGGTACAAGGACCAAGAAGTTTAACGAAATGACGCAATACTTAGTGGTACCAAAAATGATTGTGAATTGAGTTTTTTATTCCTATGTGAAATTAACTGCTCGACTAACCACCTTTTGTTGTTTTTTTTAATTCATCACTCGTTGCAGTCAGACAACCCTTAGTTATGTTTTGTTAAATATTCTGTGTTTAAAGCAACTCTTTGGTCCCAATTTTAGTCGCTTTTGATCTTACTTTTCGATACTTATTCAATAGGTATGACTTGAAATACAATCACCTACACAACTTATATCATCTATAAAATAATCCAGAAGTCAGAGAGCATTTTAGCACCATCCAGATACATTCATTTTGATCTGCATAGTTTTCCGTATCTACATGTGGTTAGGTTTGTAGTATAATTAAAAGATTATATCGAAACAATTGATGTAGTTAACTTCTAAATGTTGGGTCTCGTTGGAAATTTTACTTGATGTAGTTATTTCTATCCTGATGCGTTCATTGTGCAATGATTTAGTCAGCTAAGGTAAACAGAAATGCAACAGTTTAATGCTAAGTCATACGTGATAACACATCAAAAGAATTGGTGGAAATACAATTCAGTTCGCTAACACTACGCATCCAGATGAAGGGAATGTGAGGATGTCTTTGTCCCATAGATATACTCTTATCTTAACACACAAAATTAACTAGTCTGATGTATTCAGAAATCAGTTGGTTATCTTAATCATGTAAAGTTCCAGCCTAACTGATGAGGTTTCATGATTTATGTACGTCATCTAGAACCAGCTACCTCTCTTTCGATAGATTGTGCAAAGCGACTGCTGAATATCAACTTCCATTTTAAACTTTTATAAAATATCTACCTAAAAATGTGGATTTGACGCATGATTAATATATATTTGAGCATCCAACAGTTTTGAGAGTAAATCTCACTGCCGGTGAGAAGTATCATTAATGTCAGTTCAAGATAGAAAGGTGAATTTTTCCGAACAACAGTGAAGGAATCTGATGGATATATTCTTATACCATAAAAGAATTCATGGTAGAATAACATTTATCGCTATAACCTACCTGATGAGAGTTGATCGGATCTAATATATTTGTTGCTTCGGCGTCACTCATACCTTTTATGCAAATATCTGTGACAGAATTAAGACAAGACGACACTGTGTTGTCAAAATGTGCCTCTTCATTATCTTGTTGGGATGAAACTCCAGACGATAGAGCATTTACTGAACCATTGGAAGCAGTGAAGTTTGTTCGGATACCACTGTTTGGTGAAATCATGTCATTTGAAGCAGGTGATTGAACACTGGGGGTCAACATGTTATTATTTCCTTCATTATCCACAGGTTTATTCGAATTGAACATGGTCTCCTTTCAGTTTGGTAAAATTAATATCTTGTGAAGTGTTCCAAACAGCTTGATTGAGTTACCATACAAAATTATACTTAATGTCTATGGTTTATTTATCCTATAAATGAAAACAGTTAAGTGAACAGAAAGAAAGCTTATAGCAATGATTTAAAGCCTTAAAACGCTCTTTAGCACAAAATTGATATATTGAGATGAATTCTGAACAGTTTTGTTACAATTTTACCATCATTTGCATCTTTAAATTTGATGCAGTTATAATAAGAGCAACAGTAATGGTGCATAATGAGTACATTTCATATGACATCAAGCAATAAACTTCAATCAATTAAATTGTAACTTTTTCATGTAAACAGACAAGAATTAGTACATATGACCAATTTTATATAGCATACACTATTATCAGTATGTTAGAGTTTATGATACGGTCTAAGCAATGATAGATTAGTTCAAATCACGTTGTGAAATAATATGGTCTTCAACTGCTTCTCGATTTGTGACTAAAAAGAGACGTACGTTAGTGAAGTTTAAAGTACTAGTTGTCTGTTTCCTCATAGTTTATTACTTCACTCCCATGGATGACTTTCTTCTACAACTGTCATATACAGTTAACCTTCATTTATGTCAACAACCTGAAAACAGAAAAGGTGACAGAATTTTGATCATATTTTGTCGTAATATCTTCCATCTTGTAATGAACTATGCTCATCTTGGCCACCTTATTCCCGCCAATTAATCTACAGACTAGGTCAACAGAGGATTGAATAAAGCCACAGGAAATAATGAAATAAACTCAGAACATCTATAAATTGTTTACCGTACTAAGACAGACACGCCTCAAGTTAAAGCAATACCACTTTACATCAAAAATATGCATCCACATTTGAATCACAGACATAAGATTGAATTAAACGGAAAAAGAAGGTTCTTACTGGGTGTTTAGAGTAAGCGATAAGAAGCTAGAAGACAAGATACAACACCCAGCTTCTAGGGCTTTGCTGAAGTAATAGTCCTGTAATCATGTTTGATAATTTTTAAGCTGAAATTTATTGAAACAGATTCATAAATCATCCTTGGTTCTCAGGAAATACAAGCCACGTTACGCACATAAGCGATTTCGTGATCGACAAAACTTCACTTTCAGGATAGTCATCAAATTTCATATAAGCTGAAGAATCTTAAGCGCTTTTTTGATCTTATGCCAATTAGCTTGCTCCGCTGGAATGATCAACATTTCTTTCATTTTGTTAACGATTTACTGATTGAATTTATAAAAAAGGAGTGATTTCTTTGAAGTAAATTGTGCATTAGGTATCAGTAAATATGAAATAATTTGATGAGGATACACAGTTATTCGTAAGAATATCTTAGGTAGTCAAGTGTGCACTTTTTCACATTAAACTGGGATAAGAGTAATAATAGTTATCGACTAACTTTATCACAGATCCGAAGCTTGTAAAAAGTACTGGCTCTGCAATGACAACCAACCACCTGGCTGATGATGTTTAGCGAAACTGAAGCAATGGGTTTTGGGTCCCAGACTCAGTAGGAACAAGACCATTCCACTGGGCTTCAGGTGTGTCTAGCTGAAGAGTCCCAAACAAGACAAAACGAACTTTCCAGATTCCACCGCTAGTCACCAAGAAGACAAAACTAAGACCAGAAAAACTTTTGGATACATGGCTGTGTAACTGAATGCGAAGAAATTTAGATATTTCATCTCTAGGACTAAAATCAAAAATTCACAAACAAATTTGCCTTGACATGCATCTCTAGGAAGCGAAAATTTTATAGGTGACTAAAGTACCTATGAAAAGCTGTGAACCACAGTTACAAACGGTTCCCAAGAACTTCTGCATCATACAAACTGTAGGTTATTCAATGAAAACTTTCTTGGTGAAACCAGCCATATGATTCTTTAAACTATGATCCTAGTCTTTCAGCATATATCATTAATTTCAAAGTTTATTTAATAATACTGTTGTTTTAAGATCCAGTTTATTAGGTTATAAACATAATTTATTTTCAGCCCAACTTTGATTAGTGGAATATTGACTAATTTTAGCGAAAAACAAATGAGAAGCAGTAAAAATTCGGCATATTTTCTGAATTAAAAGCTAGGAAGGAGCAATTTCTTTTTGGTCTCATTTTCTCTGCTCTTCAACAGGCAACAGTTATGTACCAAAATTGTCAAACTTCTTTGAAGTCCCAAATAATATAGATAATACTTAACAATAACCTCTAAATATTGTTCAAAGAGTAAAATTCTTTAAAAACAGACTAACGTGGTTGGTAAGATTATCGCCAACTGTATGATACAATTGAAATAAACCGTCACTAGCGTTAAGTAGTTTACGAATGCAATTTCTCGCTTACCAGAAATACTTCTTCCGTTTAAGAGATGGTTAACCAACTACTGAGGTTATAAGAGGATAAATGAAACACCTAAATAAACAGTATAGCTTCAGTTTTGCCTGTCCGAATGCTGTGTATCTAATCGATAAAGTGAAATTAGATAAACGGTAAGGACTATGTAGTGTGTCTGTATGTGTGTACTGTTTTATGCATGTATGTAAGTGCGTATTTATGTATGCGTTCTGTCCACTGTAACTACTAGCACTGGGTAATGCACAGAAAGAGGCACACTTTGAAAACACTATCTATTTTTGTGAATCAGTCCAATCATACGTGCATAATAAGGAAAGAAAATGGGATATTCTTTGGAAAACTGTACATATGTTGTCTGGACTACTAATAATCTGCCCTACCATATAAAAGCAATAGTAATAACTTTTCGTAACAACTTTTCTTTATTTCCTCCCACTCTGGGCCCGAATCACATATATGCATCGTCACAACAGATTAATTCTATAGAATTCATGGTTATTTATCTTAAAATAATTTCTAAGAAATTTGAATGCATCACTGACTTTTTGTATGCATCAAAATAATATGGATTCATGGTGAAGGGGCTTTTCCCTTCTCATGATACATGTGAGACGAAAAGTTACAATGTCTTGATTTCCACATACATCTTATGTACTAGATTGCTTCTTTGATTTTCGGCAACCATGGTTACCCGACAGGTGCACAGTTGATCGATTGTTAGTTCAGGTTTATTCATTTTTAGGAGATTGACTTATGGGAATGACCACTGAAGCACAGAACTTTTAGAACCAGTAGCTTTAGGGTTATATTGTGTTGATAATTTGAACTACGAAGTCAAATAGTGAGTTAAAAATATACAGGATAAAGTTCTGTCCACTTCAAACACATTCTTATGGTCTTCATGATCTTGGTAAAACATAGTTAACTGGATTAATAGTGAGCTGATGCTTCGATGCTTCCAAAGAAGAATCCCACACTTATCTTCCATGCTTAGATGAATAGTGAGTAAAGGCATGGATTTTCACCATTTCTTCACCTGAACACCATTAGCCCCATTTTGATTCATTCCTGCTACCGGCATTTGCAAAATGTGTCACCAACGACTGCTGATAATAGTTCATAAGATCATTGCAAACTACTCATATAGTGATTCGTAAAATGAATTGGTGGTTGGTCACAAATTCACCCTTCTTCGCTAACATGTTTTATAACCCGCATAAGAGGCAGGCAACATTGTCTTACAGTACACTCAAACTTTATTGACCATTTAAATATCATATAGGAGGACGAAAGTTTAAAATGAATTTTTACTACTGTTTTTCATTCTGTCAAGGTTGGTGAGTCCTCTGGAATAAGTGAAGATGCTAGTTCATGTAACGGTTGCAATTCATTTTTTCAAAGTCAGATTTGATGCAGGCCATGTGATATTTTGCATTTCCAATGTGACGAACCTATCTTACACCATCTCGAATCGCCATTTGAAGCGTTTGGAAGACTGTATGTGCTTTCAGCGCCTAAACCAATAGGATAATTTTTTCCAATTACTCTTTAACAGTAGGGTAGGCTGTTGGCGCTGCTTGGTGTATTCGTAAATGTGTAGCAACTTTGTTACCCACGTGGTGGTGTTTGAACTGGAAAACTTATAATTTCAGTTTAAGTGATCAAGTCATTGATCATCACCTTTCACGATAGTAAAAAGAAACTGACCTTCTTAGGTACATCTATTTAGTAGTTTAACAAAAATGCACAGCAGGTTCTTTCGACAAGAATTATTCACACTTACGCATAGACAGAGCTATAGGTTTTAAGGTAAATAGTTTTGAGCAGAACTATGTGCATTTGTGGATACCTATAAGCTCGCGTTCAAATATCCAAAGTTAGTTGTAGTACTCCCCTGTTTCCTTGCAGTAGATTCAAAAGACTGTCAGACGACATAAAACATGCTAAAGGCGTTTAAACTAAAGATTTCGTATACAAGTCTTCTAAACAAAACTTTGTTTTGTCCGCCCCAGTGCTCTAACACATATTCAGAGTCAAAGCAGATGGTGAAGAGACGGCAGCCAGCAACTACAGCTTTTAATCCTTGGTCATCAACGATTTAGGCTCTCTCTACTTATCTTTGGGCTTCTATCATTGGGTACCGAAACACAAAAGGGCTAAAGTTAGTGCTGGTTAGGAATACGTGGTTGTCAAGTCTGAGTTGTAGTAGACGTTTAGCTCAATCTATTTTAAAAATGTGCTACCATATTGTCTGTTGTCTGATTCATTAGTCCTGTTACAAAATGTACAACGAACAACCTTGTCTAATAAATTATTTTACTTTCTTTACTTTTATAAATTCATTTGTTCGCATTGAAATGTGTTTTCGACGATCAGATACTGTGATTGGTTTCTCAAGGTCATTTGTTCGGTTGTTGCATGTGGCTGCTATTCTGTATTTCCTCATCCAGCTTCATTGAATCTCTTTGATTGTTATTTCTTGGGTAATCTTAAGACAGCTTTGGAGTAGCTGAGCAATCCTGGTAATGGTGAAGCATATTTACTAGCAAGACAAAAAAGTTTCTGACAATGATTTTGATGGCAGTATTGTTTTACTAGATGGAAGCATA